CCCCCCCCCCCCCCCCAGAGCAGGGAACCGAGGCCAAGGTGAGAAGACACGCACCGAAGATGAGGATGCCCTTGCGATGCTCGCGCTCCATGCGCTCCAGGAGCGTGACACAGTCGGAGATCAGGATGGCTAGACACCCCTCGGTGAGGGACATTTGCAAGCGGTAGTCCTCCAGGGTCTTGATGAGCGAGGCTTTGAGGTTGGGAATGTGCGTGCCCTTGGGGATGCGCTCGATCAGCTTGATCGGGTCGATGTGAGTGCCGGCATTCTGCAAAAGCCCCACGATGTAGCTGGGCTTGTCGAGCGAGTGCGAAATCAGGTAGTCCCACAGGTCGTCGTCCTTCTGCTCCTTGGCGAAGTCGATGGCCTGGCGGACATCCCGGATGCGCTCCAGGATCAGCTGCAGCGCGCCCTTCAAGTTGCCCATGCGACTGAGCAGGAAGACCGTCTCCGGCACGAGGCCACGCTCCTGGCACAGGCGAAGCGAGTCCTCCAGCGAGTAGTAGGTGCTCTGGCGGAGGAAGGGCAAGAGCCGGGGCGGATCGAAGGAGGAGTAGTAATCAACCTGTTTGGTGTTGTTGCCCGGGCGAGGGGAGGAGGACGACGAGGGAGAGAGAGAGAGAGAGAGGGGGAGAGAGGGAGAGGGGGGGTAAGAGGACGACGAGGAGCCATTGCGCTGCAAAGCCTTGGCAAGGGCGGGTCGCGGAGCCAAGGCAGCAGGAAGGTATAGGGGCACATACCTGCAGCGGGTGGAATTCCGAAGCAATGTGCACATCGATCAGGAAGAGCCCATGAAGATAGGCGTGGCACAATTGCGGATGAGCCCGGAGCTGGGACACCATCAGGGCGATGGGGATCTTGGAGGTGTTGCGAATGAGGAGTTGCATGGCCGGCCGGGCATGCGGCTGAATGTACCCCGGCAGGGAGGCGACATCGACATCGGGCTTGCGCACGAAGTCCGCCGGGAGGCCCATGGCCTGGGGGGTGGTATCCAATTGCAGCAGGGGCAGGATCTTCCCCTGGATGGAGGTGTAGAGGTCGTGCTGTGTGTGTGTGTGGGGGGGGGGGGGCATGCGTGGCCGGCTGTCAGTCGCCAATGAAGGGGAGTCGGAGTGGGTGTGCTTTCGTGCGTGCGTGGGATAGGATGGCAGGGGATGGGGGAGGAGGGAGCGAGGACGGAAGGGGGAGGGGTGGGCGGACCTTCCGAATGAGATCCAGAGCCAAGCTGTTCTGCAGGAGGATCAGGATGTCAAGCGAATCCTCCAGCCGGTTATCGAGCGAATAGCTGAGCAGCAGGGGGCGAGATTAGCGGCATTCGAGAGGGTGATGATGCGAAAGAGGGAAAAGCACAGAGGCAAAGCACAGGCCCACGCACAGCTCGGCCAGCGCCTTCGTAAGATTGAGATGACTGGCAGTCTGCGGGGGGTTGGCCAGGAGCAGAGTCGGGGCACTGGGCCCAGCCCCGGGCGGCCGGTTGGGAAGCAGAACCTTCTCGATGGCCGAAGTGACAGCTGCGATGCTATACAGCGTCGAAGGCCAAGACCGGATGGTCTCGAGCAGACGCTGGGGGCACACCCGGAGGAGGCAGGAGGGTGAGCGAGAGGGGCAGGGGCAGGGGCAGGGGCGCAGGGCGCAGGGCGTCGGCGTTCAGGATGATGTGGCAAAGAGAGCCGAGGCTCGGTCGGTGGCGGCCGTGCGCGGGGACGCACCAGGGGATTGGAATGGATGAAGTGGAGGAGGACCACCTCGTAGATCATCGGCGAGAGGGTAGGGTTGGAGGTGGGGATGTACGGGCAGATGGCCTGGATGGGAGATGCGATGCACACATACACAATCAGCAAGCAGCATGTGGCGTAAGAGCGAGAAGGGGAGAGAGGAGGAGAGAGGGGGAGAGAGAGGGGGAGAGGAAGAGAGAGGGAGAGAGAGAGGGGGAGAGAGGGAGGCGAGTCAGGGAGAAAAAAAAAACAACCCAAACGCACATCTAGCTGCTTGTTCCGGTCGAAGGTTGTGATGAACGTGGCCCAAAGGTCGACATTGGTCTTGAGTACACGCGGACAGGCGGCCGCGGCTTCCTTGAAGCGGCCATTCTCCAGCAGGTAAATGATGTACTTGGTGCCGATGTCCAGGGCGGTGGTCCGGTAGAGCAGGGTCCCCGGCGCCTCGGCAATGCGCAGGGCATCCTCAAAGCGACACCGGTCCACCAGCCAAAGGACCCGATCATCCAAGTCGCACGGGGTCGCCACGATGATCTCCCGTTGGGACATGATGTAGAAGGCATCCTCACTCGGGGAGCACAGCAGGTGGTAGGACTTGGCCGTGTACTCCTCGTAGTTGGAGAGCGACAGGATGTTGGCGGAAATCTCCTCATTCCGGTATGTGACCAGGCGCATTTCCGGCCGATGGGCAACCGGCTGGGCGCCGGCACGGGCAGCGGCAGCGACCGCCGCCGGGCCGCCACCAGGCCCGGACGAAATCACCCGTCCCGCCGCATTCACCAGCTGCGGCTCCCGATACGACAGCACGGCCAGGATGTTGCCGAAGGGACACAGCCCGCTGATGAACTGGTCCGAAAGCTGGAAGACCACGGTTTCCACACACTTATTCGGCAGGCCATTGACCATTTGCGGCTTGACGAAGCCGATCTTCACGGTGTCGGCCCAGCCGATCAGCAGGACGTTGTCATTTTTCCAGTGCAAACAGCACCGGTAGAGGTCCGCGCGGGGAGAGCCCTGAGCAAAGAGCAGCCCGGAGGTGATGGTGGTGGTGGTGGCGGTCAGGAGGGGCGAGGCAGAGGGAGAAGCAGGGAGGGGGGGGGGAGGGGGCGATGGAAGCCATTCGAAGGGCACACCAGCCGTCAGTCGGGGCACAGCGCGACCGGGAAAGGGGCAAGCCCGACAAGCAGGCAGGCCACCCCGGCGACATGGCCATCGCAGCGCGTACCTTCGGCCGATCGATGAAGCTGATGCGTTGCTGAGTCGAGGTGTCGTAGATGTTGACGCCCTTGTCATTGGCCCAGGCGATCAGGTCCCCGCGCCAGCGAATCGCATGGATGGTCCCTTCGCCGGCGTGGAGCGGGGTCTCGCGCCCGGAGAACCAGCCACGGTCATGCATTGTCAGTTGACCTGACAGACCGCCGCTGACCAGACGCCGCGAGGAGCGCTTCGAATAGTTCGGGTCCAGGGCCACCGCCTTGACGGGGCGCTTGGTGGAGTACGAGTGCGTCTCATTCGAAAAGAGGGCCGTGACAATGACCTTGCCTGGGATGGGGAGTCAGAAGCGGAAGGGGGGCTGCGAGCGGAGGACAGAGGAAGGAGGGCAAGCAGCCGGGGCGCACCGTCATCCGAGCAACTGGCCAGATACTCGCCGTCAGCGTCGATGCTGATGTCATTGACGGTGGCAGAGTGCAATGGCAGCCGGCGAATCTCATTGCCCTCGAGATCCAGCAAATAAATCATGCCCCAATGGGTGCCCAGAGCCTGGTACCGTGTCACGGTGTGGAGAGACGGGGAGAGGGGGGAGGAGAGGGGGGAAGGGAGAGATAGAGAGAGAGAGAGAGAGAAAGGTAGGGAGCGAGGGAGGGAGGGAGAAGAAGAGGAGCGGGGGGGGGGGGGGGGGAAAGAGAAAAGAAGGTCAATGAAGATGCCAGAGGTAGGAGAAAGGTGGAACATACAACAGCGCACCAGGAGACGCTCATGAACACACAGGCAGCTGGCGATGTCGCTGTTGGCCTTGAGGATTTCGGAGACGCTATTGCCAAGACGGCGGTACTTGAGCTTCGGCTCCTCCTCCTCCTCCTCTTCATCGTCATCATCATCATCATCATCATCATCGTCGTCGTCGTCGTCGTCGTCGTCGTCGTCGTCCTCATCCTCATCCTCATCGTCTTCATCATCATCCTCATCCTCATCGTCGTAGGAGTCATAGGAGTCATAATGGTCGTCATCATCTTCCCCGGCGGCCGCCTGGACGGCGGGAGCGGGAGAGGCGGCCGTGGCGGCTACAGCGGAAGTCGGGACGAAGCTCATTCCAGGGACGGCCACCTGGCCGGGAGATGCGACGGGGGCACCCGCTGGACGGGAAGCAACAGCCGCCGGGGTGGTAGCAGAGCCGGAAGCAGGAGCGGTGGCCCCGGTGAGAGACCCAGCCGCTGTGACCGGTGGAAGAGCCGGACCACCAGCAGCAGTTGCAGCGGCGACGGGGGCGGCGGATGGGGCCACGGCCGTCGACTGTGCTTTCCCTACACGACGCTCACCCGATCTGGAGATGCGACGGGGGCACCCGCTGGACGGGAAGCAACAGCCGCCGGGGTGGTAGCAGAGCCGGAAGCAGGAGCGGTGGCCCCGGTGAGAGACCCAGCCGCTGTGACCGGTGGAAGAGCCGGACCACCAGCAGCAGTTGCAGCGGCGACGGGGGCGGCGGATGGGGCCACGGCCGTCGACTGTGCGACAACAGGGGCCACCTCGATGAACGTGCGGACGGGCACCTGAAGTGCAGGGAGTTGAAGGATGGGGACGGCGGCGGGGGCGGCAGCACTGGCGCCGGTCGAAGAGTGGGCCTCCCCGGCCTCGTCATCCTCTTCGTCCTCACTGTCGTAGACATCGTCCGAGTCCTCTGCCTCGCCAGGCCCATCAGATCGGAAGAGCACACGTTGAAGTGCAGGGAGTTGAAGGATGGGGACGGCGGCGGGGGCGGCAGCACTGGCGCCGGTCGAAGAGTGGGCCTCCCCGGCCTCGTCATCCTCTTCGTCCTCACTGTCGTAGACATCGTCCGAGTCCTCTGCCTCGCCAGGCCCATCAGAAGTGGCGGGGGCGGGAGCGGCGGCAGCGACGACATCAGACTCGGACTCCTCCTCGTCCTCGTCATCACCCTCGGACACGGAGACCTCTTCCGCGTCGGACTCGGGGCCATCGCCCTCGGTGCTGTCATCGTCCTCGTCATCATAGTAGTCCTTCGGGTCGAAGTCTAGCTGGTCGCCGGCCTCGTATTCCTCCTCGGAGTCATCCGAGTAGTAGCTGGCCTTCTTCCGATCAGCGGCCATGATATGTGCACGCACAGGGGCGGCGTTTGTCCAACACCGGGAAGGAAAGGGGGAGGGGGGAGGGGAAAGGGGCGCGCGGGCGGAGGAGAAGTTGCCCGAAGCCCACGCAGAGGCCATTTACTACTCCACGTGTAGGCACTCCTATGGTGAGCTGCCGGGCGTGTGTCCTGGCCCGGAAATCGGCGCCCTGGCCTGCCGGGCCCTCAGGAGCACCGGGCGAAGAGGGCCGGATGTCCTCCTCGTCCTCCTGCGCGCCGCCCTGTTCCCAGTCACGGGCGCGTCGGGCGCTTCACCGGCGCACAGGAGTCGGGCCCGGAGGCAGCCAGGGACAAACAATCCTCCCTCCTGTGTGGGCACTCAGCTGCCGGTTGGGGCGGTTATTTC